GAGGGAGGGAGGGAAATTTCTGCTAGGTCCTACAACCAGATATGGTCTTTTTATTCAGCGCAATCCACCCTATACTGTATTGAAATAACACAAAGGATTTTCTATGATTACTAATTATGTTTAACTATCTTCTCTTAACTCCAAAGAAAAAGATCTATAAACACCCAATATTCTTGCTGATATAAATAAATATCCCCCTTTGTTTTCATTTAAGGACAACATACATATGGTTAAGTACATAAACCATAAATGTATAGTTCAGTGACTTTTACATATGTATATACTCATGTAATCCCCACCTAATTCATGACATAGAACATTTCCAGCATCACAGAGGTTTCTTTTTCCTCTCCTGATCACCAGTGATAATCTCTATTTTGGTTTCTATCAACTAGTTTTGCTCAGAAAACTAAAAGGTTTTAACTTGAAAAACTGTTTTTAATTAGAAACTTCATGACTGGTAAAATATTAGCACTCTACTATACATAAAAACAGTGAGAATGTATTGTATTATATACTAAATTAAAAAGTAAATAAGCCCATGTGGCTCCTTGGCTACTGACTAAACCACCACCCCAGTGGGATTTTCATTAACAGAGACCTAATTTTCTATCTGTACTAGAATAAAAGCGCAGATGACTGAAGACTGTTTTTCGTGAAACATAGGGATTCAAACTCAAGAAAACTGTGTGACACAGCAAAAAAACAGACTTCAGAGTCAGACAGAACTAGGTTTAAATACGTAAAATATCTGTAACCTTGGGAAATTACTTCTTATATTCTCAGTTTTCCCATATAAAATGGAAATAAAATGACCTACCTTATCATAAGAGTTAGATGAAAAGGTATATAAAATACATAATTTAGTGTCTGACACACAGTAGGTGCTCAATAAATAACAGCTATGTGTAATTACCTGCATTTGGGCTAGACAGAGATGCTGTGGCCACAGGCTTCCGTTTCCTCTTGATGTCATGTGAGCATGGGGGTCCCAAGTGTATGCTTGCCTGTCTGCAGAGGTAACAGAAAACATACTGTTGCAACTTTGTAATTCTCATTGTTTAAAACATTATGTTCAGCCCAGATAAAATCCTTGACCCATTATAGATATTACTAACAAAGGCAGTATCATCTTTTGCCATCAAGTGCAAGTATAAGATTATTCACAATTAATCATAACTCACTCTATACTTACAAAATATACCCATTCTAAACTTTTTACCTGATTAGCAAAATAGCAGACATTCAAGATTAATTTCAGTAAATCTGTTTCATTACATGCTGATTTTTTTGTACATTTTTCATAAAAACTATAACCTCAATTGTTCTAAATTTGCTAATGAAATAACTACTCCCAAGCAGTACTATATTGAAAAGTTTAACGCTGCATGAACACAGATATTTGCATAGAATTTTAATAGGAAGTTTAACTCTTCTATCACTATACATCTAGATTTTAATAGTGTCTGCACAGCAAGTTAAGTTTCTGTGATTTTTAAAAATATAAATTATGTGCTGATAATATGTCCCCTTTTCTGAATGTTCAGCTTATTTTAAAAACAAAACAGTGAGAGCTTCAACACTAGGAAAGCAAAAGATTCTCTGAAAGGCAATGGGCTTAACACTGAAATAACAGGTATGCTATTTTAGTTCCCCACTTCCTCCTTCCTCTCAAACTAGACAGATACTACCCCTGATTAAGGACCAAACTGAGCTTCACCTTTACACAAAGTTTCCTCGAACATTCAAGGCCTTATCTTCCATAAATTATTTAACTGCTGTAAATATATCTTGTTGCCCTAATGAGGCTTAATCTTCTTGAGAACAGGGATCATATTTATATTTCTTTCATAATTCTCCAATGATTACCAACCTTAGCGGAAGGCACATATCTGAGTCCCCATTAAATATCTGTTGACTAGAACTGATATGAATGAATAAAAGTTCTAAAAACCAAATAGCCAACTGTACATTTAAAATGGTTAAAGTGACTTTTCCTATCAGGGGGCCCCAATCTGGCAACTTTCAGTTTAAAAGTACATATATGTGTTCTATCTCTCTGCCTCCTTTCTCCCTCCCTCCATCCCTCTCTCTTCTCTCATGCTCTTTTCACCAAATAGTAAAAGCTTGAGAGGCCATTCAATTTATAAACAAGGAAAGATAAAAATTTGACCGTAATCATAAGAATTTTTTTAGAATTCAAAGAACACCAAAATAGGCAAAGATTTACACTATAAAGCCTGTGGTTTGGCAAAGTCTGTACAAATCACCTTTTATTGATCACTCTCTTCCGGATGGAAAAAAGAATCAACTTTAAGTATTCCATGAATAGTTAATTCCAATGTGAAATGTAAATATAAGTGCACAAAAAAGGGGAAACAATTCATTTTTCATACCTTACACAAGTCCTGGGAATAAGCCTAAATCAGCATGCTGACAATAATATTAAGAAAGACAGATGACAGAATGTCAAAAGTAGACAGCCTTTAGTCTAAAAGCAGAGGTGTCATTCCTTTTGAAGCCAGACACAGGCAGAAAAGAAACTGACGCTACAAAATTTTGTTTCTCCTCAAAACAGAGAAATGTACAGAGCAGAGTTTCCATCTTTTCTACAAACAAGGTACTTAAGTACATTTAGGCCCAAACTCAAACTATCCAGGCACTTTGTTCTAATTCAATCCTGCTTCTCCTAAAGTACTTCAGAAAGAGAAATTAGTCAAACAAAGGGTAACAGTCTATATTCATGCTCTTCCTTCTTTACCTGACTTCATTAAAGGACTCTCCAAAACTTCTCAGGTTAAGTGCTAACACCATTTCTTCAAACTAAACTCTCTTATTAGACATCAGGACAGTGGCAACCTTTGAGCTGCGGGGTGTAGGGAAGAGGGGTCAGTGACTAGGAGCTTCTGGGGTTCTCTCTGGTAATGTTCTGTTTCTGGATGCTGAAAATTCATCAAGTATATATTTCCTTGTAAACTCCTCTACATGTACATTGTCCTTCAATTAATTTAAAAACACTGCTTCTTCAAGATCAATGTTTATAAAATGCTGAGTTTTAGGAAATAGATGCAAAATGAAAAGCCTAAGAAAAGTACTCAAAAGGACTTTAAGATATTCTCAGAGTATCAACTTGGGCTCATCTGAATAAATACTGCCTTTTATTTACACACCATCTTGATTTTCACAGCATTGCACGTTTGATATATGTCAGTAAGATGGTTAAGGGCACCTATTCTATCACTTAAATAGAAATACAGTGCTTTAAAAAAATGTTTATTCTAGTTAAAATGAAAATAAGTATTACTTACTGCTATGCATGTAAGTTATTAGACTGCACTCTATTCTGCAATGTCCTTAGGGGGCCACTGTGAATGCAAAGGTTCAGGTGGTCCTTACGATGTCCTGTCCCTCTGGGCCATGTTTCTTGGATCCCCACTCTTCCCTGCTCAGTGATGGCATGGGCTTCGGGGTTAACTGTCCCTACATTAAATGCCCCCAACTGCTAAGCTTCCAGCCTGTTACTTCTCTCTGCAGTAAATGTTCTACTTCTACCACCTCATTCCCACTTCTAATGGTTACCTTGAACATTCTACATCCTTCATATTTTGTATATTTTCTCTGGTTATAACTTAGGAAAGAAATGAAGGCTTTCCAAGGAAACCAGGTAACGAAACTTTTTAAGTCAATAACCTTATTTTGTTGTAAAAGTATGTATTTTGTGTGGACTATTTCCTTCCTACTCAGCAGGTTTTCTACTTCTTCCATTGCTCATCAAGTTGTTAGTAAGCACTGGGATACAGTGGTGAGCCAGTTTTTTCCCTAATGGACCTGTAGCCCAGTCCCAATTCCAGCTGCACAGCTTTTCTAGTTACAGAATCTGAGTCACAGAGAAACTGAGGCAGGGATAAAGAAAAGTCTTGTTCATTCCTAAAGCTCAATTTAACGTCTATTCCTTCTTAAAACATTTCTCTTAAGATCATTTCCAGGTTGGAGGGCTATTTCATAAGAAATAGAATAAAATCACACCTTGGGGCTGTCTGTCTGTCTGTCTGTCTCTCTCTGTCCCTTCCTAGTTAAGATCTGGGGAGGGAGGAAAGGAAACAAAGTGTTATAGAAGGACAGTAAGACACTGTCCTTGCATTTGGTTTTAAGTGAACACTAGTAATGGTAGAGTTTACAGCTTGGGAAAATCTATTCTCCCTTTGAGGGCTCTGTCTGCTTGGGAAAAACCTTAGCGGACAAATAAGGAAGAGAACCCAGACCAGCCTGGGAAAAGCAAGGAGGAAGCCGGGTGCTTGGAGCAAGAGGAGTTTAAGAAGACAGGACTGGAACCCACCATGCTGCAGAGCACATTCAGAACAGAGGATAGCCCTGTTCAGGAGTAATGAATAATCTGTGTGGGGCCGGAACCTGAGCATGGGGCAGCCAACTACTGGACCCTCAGCTTCCTATTCAAGAGGTAGTTCCAATTCCTCATTTATCTCAAAATAACTGCACATCAGTCAATTGCAGACATGAAGTACTTAACCACCTTGGCTTCTTTTCTTTTTAATGTGTTATTTCTTTAATTTGTGTTATTTTACTCTGACAATATCATTGTCTGCTCACAAGGCATAAACTGAAAAGGACACTGAACAAGTGAGGTATCACCAAGGACAGGAAAAGAGAGTCTGAGCTTCCGCTTCTCAACAAACAGAGCCCCTCACTATAGATAGAAAAGGTAGAAGACTTAACTAGATTTTTTAAAAACTCTTTCAAGAGCAGTGTACAGTTGTTTTTGTGTTGTAGCTATGTACTATATGTGGGAGGAGGGGAACTTTCAATTATGTAGGGGGCAAAAAAAGCTAAGTTTAAGTTAAGCTAAAATCTCTACAAAGTTATTAAAACTTTCTTCTCAATTAAAGTGGCAAACATTTATCAGAAAGATGTAGGGGCTTTTACAAAATACACATCCCCCGCCATAATGGGGTGGGAGAGGGATCAGTAACATGATTATTTTGAAATTTCTCCTCAAGTAATAATGATGAGCTTCTACCTACTGTGAAAACTGAGTTAAAAAATATACCAAATTCCAGAAGCTAAGTAAGCTAGTCAATAAAAGAGATCTAAATATTTAACTTGAAGATTAACAGAATGATTAAAATGAATATAAATTTAGATGAAAATATCGTTCCCCAGTATATAAGCAATTAACCTACAGAAAAGACAGGCTAGGCTTGTTCTGTTTCATCTGATGGGGGCTCAGTCTTCCTTGGCACTACCTGTCACAGCACGGGAGCCAGGTCAGTACTTCCCCTCAATGCGTCACATTCAGCAGCATTTGCCAAAAAGAATTTATGGGGGAAATGCACATTAAAAGCAACAGATACAGTCTTTAAAAATTCTTCAGGAAAAGTAAGTGTGAAGGTGAATGCTGAGGATGAACAATTAAATGAAAGAGTATTCTGTATATCTATGCATAAACACAGCATTTCTATTTTATTTTTTACTGCAGGTAACCAAAAGATCAGGTGAATTGTTAAAACTGCAGTGTTACTTAGGAAACTGGGCAGATCACTATGTCCCTGGGGCAGGAATGTACTTTTAGGGGGAAAAAATTACTTTGAGAAAAACATGCATGTTTAATAGAGCCAATGCTGGCAAAAAATAACTGAAGTGGCTGCTTTAGATTTAGAACAAAGATGTTTAGAATCACTCCTAAGGAGAGATAACAGTCTTTGTCTGCCAACGGCGAGCTAATTTAAGGAATAGTTCACCTTCAAAAATCACTGATTTTTAAAACCCAATGGAAAGTTCATTATTTTTGCATAAAATAAAATTTATTGTGACAAGGTATGTATTTACTCTTCCTTAAGCACCTACAAATCAGTAACATCAAGAAAAAATTACTGATATTTCTAAGGACCAAAGTTCATATATATCATATATTCCAATTATTCTCTTTAATTACTAATCTATTCACCTCAATTATTTTTAACAAAAATGTATGAAGGCCTACTCTATGTAAAGCA